ACACTTGAGTGGTTTAAGGCGAAACATTTAAATGTCTTGGAATGGCCTAGTCAAAGCCCAGACCTCAATTTGTGGTATGACTTAAAGATTGCTGTACACCAGTGGAACCCATCCAACTTGAAGGAGCTGGAGCAGTTTTGCCTTGAAGAATGGGCAAAAATCAGAGTGGCTAGATGTGCCAAGATAATAGAGAGACATGCCCCAAGAGACTTGCAGCTGTAATTGCTGCAAAAGGTGGCTCTACAAAGTATTGACTTTGGGGGGGTGAATAGTTATGCACGCTCAAGTTTTCTGTTTTTTTTTCTTATTATTTATTGTTTGTTTCACAATAAAAAATATTTTGCATCTTCAAAGTGGTAGGCATGTTGTGTAAATCAAATGATACAACCCTCCCAAAAATCTATTTTAATTCCAGGTTGTAAGGCAACAATGAAAAATGCCAATGGGGGTGAATAATTTCGCAAGCCACTGTAGAAACCACATTCGTTTAAGCAAGTCAGCCATATCAGCTATGTTTTTTTTTAAAGGCAGTAAATGAGGCTGAATTAACTGTTTCGCTGTCAGACAAGGCTCCACTGATAGCCAGGTGTAGCAGTGGTAAGGTGTTGGGACTGCTGTTGGGACAGTTTTATGTAGGCCCTAACAGTTTGCGGGCACCGTTTGTCACCGTTATAGTTCAATTAATGTATTGTTTAGTGTTGTGTTGTGTAGTGGCTTTCCTGGCATGCATCCCCCCCCCAAAAAAAAAAAATGGTTTGCCCCACCAACATTTACATGCTAAAATCGCCACTGGTCAGGATAAAGATGAGTCTGTGACGGTAGGAGTGAAATATTTTGAAATAGTGGACCCTTGCCTTTTGGCTGATTCATTTGTGGTTTCAGTGTGGGTGAAAACAGAGTAGGGTGCTGTGGAATCGGTGAAAGTAACCAGAAGTGGTCTTGTGATAATTATTTATGTTTCAGCAGGCGCTCCGCGTCAAACGAATGGGGACAAGAGATGTCAATTGTTTTGCCCTCAAGAAAAGGGCGCCATTGAAAGGAGTGATTACTGGGGTAGCGGTAAATGTGAAAGTTGACCAACTGAAGGGAAAGATTCCCGGTGTTTGTGATGCTCGTCGTTTGGTGCGACGCAGACAGGATGGCATGAGTGGTGACACAGACGAGTCGTTGTCTGTTCTTTTGAGTTTTGATGTTGAGTCTTTGCCATACAAAGTGATGTTAGGACATACTGTATAAATTATCCCATACAAGCTTTTGTGCCGAATACATTACGTTGTTACAGGTGTCAAGCTTATGGGCATGTGGCATAAGTGTGTAGGAGGGAGGTTCCTAGGTGTGAGAAGTGTACAGAAGGGCATGAGACAAAGGAATGTGTAGCAATGGGGAAAGAAGTGGTATGTGTTAAAATGTAGGGGTGCCAATGGGGCTGGGGATCAGAAATGTCCGGTGCAACAGAGGCAGGTTTCCAGGGTTAGAGTAGTGCAGAAGTTGTGAAGAATGTAGAGGAAGATGGGTCAAGGTGGAGGGATCCTGAGAGGAGTGGTGTGAGTAGAAGATCTGTACCAGTACAGAGGGATAGGCCAACAAGTGATATATGCTTCAGTAAGATTAGATTTTTAGCATTTATAGCAATGGTTATCAACTGTACTGCAGGGATGGAATGTAAGTCACAGAAAATTGAGGTTGTGGTGGCAGCTGCAGAGAAGTATTTGGGTGTACGAGACTTTACGTCGGAAGGGTTACACGGTGTGTTGAGTGGTGGTGTCCCGTCCTTTCAAGCTGTTGGCTTGAGGTAGGACTAGATAGATTTAAATAGTGGAGTAGGGTGGTGGGTTTTTAATTGAAAGTAGGGTTAGATGGTAGGGTATTTGTTGATTTTTGTTTTTTTGTTGTTGTTTTTTAAAGCAAAGTATAAGGGAGTTATACTCCAGTCTAGTGTGTGGCGGTAATGCAACATTTATTGGATGCCAACCGCCATTAAACCTCATCGAAGAAGAAGAAGACGAAGAAAAATAATGTGTTGGTCTAGCAATGTTTCTGCTGTTCGGTCTACTGCTGCAGCACATGTCATGACAAAGTTTGCAAAACAATCGCCACCCAATTGATACAAATTAGCATGATATAGTTCTGTCAGGTAAGCCTACTTTGCAGTTAACATTTATCTGAGAAGGTTTTTGGGAAAGTCTTTCTGTCATGTCTACCCATAAGAGTCAGACGGTTGTCATTAGCATCGCTATCTGGCTACATACAGAGTGGTAGACAAACAGGAGCACCAAACAGACAGATAGGAAATGAATTGGCAGATATTGTGTTACGTTTGGCTTTTTAAGGCAATAGTGGCAAACCAGGGGTGGGATAATGTCAACGTGGCTTTGATTGTATAGTAGCCGGGAGCTTTATGTTTATGACAGTTTGCGATGGAACACATTAAGAAATGCATGTACTTTCAGAATTGATTGGTGAGATACTCATAGGTGGGCTGTGAGCTACTGCTAGATCACGATCTATTTGTTGGAGACCAACTGTCCTACATAGATATGGTATGACATATTTGAGGCAAAATATATTAATTATGAGTAATATATGAATATTATAATAAAAGTGTTATGTACAAAGTAAATGTTTTCCTTATAGCTTTCACATTGTTTTTATAAGTCAACATACTGTAGAAAGACTATGACAATTACTATATTTGTATATACATTTTCATGTATGAGTTAACATTATGTGGGGTTATATCCTTCCTGTTTGGCCCTGTCCGGGGGTTTCTTCGGATGGGGCCACAGTGTCTCCGGACCGCTCCTGTCTCAGCCTCCAGTATTTATGCTGCAGTAGTTTATGTGTCGGGGGGCTGGGGTTAGTTGGTTATACCTGGAGTACTTCTCCTGTCTTATCCAGTGTCCTGTGTGAATTTAAGTATGCTCTCTCTAATTCTCTCGTTCTCTCTTTCTCTCTGAGAACCTGAGCCCTAGGACCATACGTCAGGACTACCGGGCATGCTGACACCTTGCTGTCCCCAGTCCGCCTGGCCTTGCTGCTATTCCAGTTTCAACTGTTCTGCCTGCGGTTACGAAACCCCTACCTGTCCCAGACCTGCTGTTTTCAACTCTTAATGATCGGCTATGAAAAGCCAACTGAGATTTATTCCTGATTATTATTTGACCATGCTTGTCACTTATGAACATTTTTGAACATCTTGGCATGGTTCTGTTATAACCTCCACCCGGCACAGCCAGAAGAGGACTGGCCACCCCTCATAGCCTGGTTCCTCTCTAGGTTTCTTCCTAGGTTTTGGCCTTTCTAGGGAGTTTTTCCTAGCCACCGTGCTTCTACACCTGCATTACTAGCTGTTTGGGGTTTTAGGCTGGGTTTCTGTACAGCACTTCGAGATATTAGCTGATGTACGAAGGGCTATATAAAATAAAATTGATTGATTGATTGATTGATTGAACATGGGTAAGGCTAGGCAGCACCTCCTACTGGACAGTTGATTTATCTACAGCTATGCCTTTGGTCTCCTATCCAGGGTTTTAAGCAGTGGTGGAAAAAGTACCCAATTGTCATACAGTGGCTTGCGAAAGTATTCACCCCCCTTGGCATTTTTGCTATTTCGCTGCCTTACAACCTGGAATTTAAATGGATGTTTTGGGGGTTTGTATGATTTGATTTACACAACATGCTTACCACTTTGAAGATGCAAAATATTTTTTATTGTGAAACAAACAAGAAATAAGACAAAAAAACAGAAAACTTGAGCATCATAATCTAGTGGGTATGATATAGACAATTGCCTTTTTATAATGATTTAGTTGTATGATTGTGTTAAGATCCAGTATGTCTTTACATGTGTTGTCCTTTGAGGAAGGCCCTCAAAATTGTCAAAGACTCCAGCCACCCTAGTCATAGACTGTTCTCTCTGCTACCGCACGGCAAGCGGTACCGGAGTGCCAAGTCTAGGTCCAAAAGACTTCTCAACAGCTTCTACCCCCAAGCCATAAGACTCCTGAACAGCTATTCATGGCTACCCGGACTATTTGCACGGCCCCCCCACCCCATCCTTTTTACGCTGCTGCTACTCTGTTAATTATTTATGCATAATCACTTTAACTCTACCCACATGTACATATTACTTCAACTACCTCAACTATCCGGTGCCCCCGCACATTGACTCTGCACCGGTACCCCCCTGTATATATAGCCTCCCTACTGTTATTTTATTTTACTTCTGCTCTTTTTTTCACAACACTTTTTTTGTTGTTGTTTTATTTTTACTTTTTTTGTTAAAAATAAATGCACTGTTGGTTAAGGGCTGTAAGTAAGCATTTCACTGTAATGTCTGCACCTGTTGTATTCGGCGCATGTGACCAATAAAATTTGATTTGATTTGATTTGTACCCAATAAAGAGAGAGAAGAATATTGGAATTGAGAAAATATTTGTCTCTTTACTTTTTATTGTAATGCAATCAAGTTTTTGTTATGTATGATAACTCTAAATAGATTATTAGTGTATGTTTGCACTCTTGGAATGGAGTATTATTACACACTTGGATTGAGTGTATCTTTGGGATTTTGTTTTACTTTGACTGTGGTGTGATCCACTCCTACAGCACTCTCTTGTGGTTATCTGCTGCACTACACTGCTAAGAGTTCATAGCTTCATTTGAACTCTATCTTCCTCCTGACTGAGGCAACAGCTCATCAGATGAGACATTTGTGTAAGGAATGAGACGTTGACTGTGACAGGACCTTTTGTTCATATTTGAGCTCAGAATGAACTGAATGATGGTGTGTGATGGAGTATGGTCTAGGAGGGCCCTCATCATAAATCCATAAATCATACTGTGTGTCTAGTCACTTTCTCTGGTGAACACAATTATGAATACTGAGTCTGTAATTTAGCTCATAATGTACGAGTCTCTGCATAGTGCTATACACAGAGATTAATTGCTCAGTAGATTCAACAAAGTATATCAATGTGAAATAACAGACCCACCATGCGTTTTTATGAAAAAATGAATTTATTTAGAAACGATACAACATTATACCTACAGTAAAAATGGGACAAACAACATGTAGTGTAAATAATTGTGCAATTGAACAAAATGGACTGTTCCTTATGTCCTGATGAGATGGCTAGTATTGCTCTTATCAGGTATTATTGTCGTACTGTATTAGACCTTAAGGGCCCTCTGTTTGTTATTCTCTGTTCTGACCTCTCCTCCTAAGGCTGGGTCATAGAGCACCTTCCTGGTCCTGGTAGCATTCTTCACTGTCGACAGCAGCAGGATGAGAAAGACAGGCCTTTACTAGGCATTGATGACGACGGGAGCGTCGGTAGTGATGGCAGCCTCTGTGACCGCCTCCTCAGCCGAGTCGCTGTCACTCTCCTGGCTCTCGTCGCTCCCGGCTGAGTCGCTGTCTGCTGCCCCGGGCGTGGCTGTAGCCTCCTCACTGCTGTTGCTGCTGTCAGTCTCATCACTGGCGCTGGTGCTCTCGCTGGTGCCGTTGCTGCTAGCGCTACTGGTGCTCTCACTTGTCGCATCACTGGCGCTAGTGCTGGCACTCTCTGCCTCTTCCTCCTCCAGGCTCTCAGCTCCCTGGCTCTCGGGGCTCTCATGGGGGCCGCTGTCCTGGCTGGCTTTGTCGATGTGCGCTTGGCGCAGGCTGGGCTCCTGGGCTGTCCCGCTGGAGGCATCCAAACCCTGGCTCTCCACCTCGGGGGTGCTGGTGTCCTCTTCCATAAAATCATGCACCTGCAGGGCCTGGAGAGAGGTGATGGAAGGATGTTTAGAGACAATTCTTACAACTAAATGGAAGGGAATAATGCTTGTGAGTTTGAGATGGAGAATTCTAACACAGAGGAAAGACAAATGGACCTTGAACACCTTCAGCGTCTTCTCAATCTCGTTTCCTAGCCCGGTGTTGTAGACGGACACCTTCTTGCCAGCATACATGCCCTCGTCCATCTTTCCATAGGATTTGTATGTGGAGGGTCCCTTCTCGATGTTGTTGGTATCTACATAGATGATGGACTTCTTGTAGTCGCCGGGGTAGCCCATGCTGTCTCCGCGTCCGTCGTCGTAGATGGGGGCCTCGGTGGGAGCCAGGGTGGGCTCAACAGTGGGCTCAGCGGTGGGAGGGGCAGCGGTTGTGTCTGCCTCCCCAGACTCTGACTCCTCTGTTTCCTGAAAACACATCACAACAACATCTTTAGTCTTACGTCACCTTTATAAGATGTGAATTTAAAATAAGAGCTTAGTGAACGCTCCTGTCTGTCGAGATTAGCTAGACGTCTTCATTGAACTATAAACTATAGACTGTGTGGTCCTGTAGACTTACTGGAGCCATAACTACACGTACATCTACGAATGAAAATGTGACTCAATATATCCTACACATGAATAGTTTTATACATTGTGTATTACATCACTGTCTGTGCTGTCCTTGCTTTCATCACTGTCTGCACTGTCTGTTGATGCTGTGCTGTCCGCTGTTGGGTCTGATGTAGGATCAGCTCCCTGGATAATAGAAAAACAGGACCCATCAGCATGTCAACATCCATCAACAACATCCATCAAAAGCACAGATATGGTTGTCTCTATCAGGTGTAAGAGTGATTTAGCGTCTTATGCTACGACAGAATGATGTTTTACTTCTGTTTCATCTTCGTCGGAGCTCTCGTCTGATGCTGTACCAGCACCCACATTCTAAAAGAAAACCGCAGCATTAAGAAGAGTCCAATAAAAACGGTATAGGACAAATGTATACATTTCAATGCCAATACACATACAGAATAGAAAGTAATGTTCCCTGAAAGAAGGTGAACACGCTCTTACCTGTACAGATGCAACCTGGGGGAGTTCTGCTGGGGCTTTCCGAAGCACCGGAGCTGGTTTTACCTGCCAACATGAACATGAATTGAAGTTGATACCAAGCACACGTCTGTCTGTCCGTCTGCCTGTCTGTCAATATATATGTTCTCATATGAGAGGAACACTCACCACTTCCTCTGAGCTCTCTGAACTGCTGCTGGACGAGCGTTTCACTGGGCGACAGAGGACCGTTGCAAAGAGCAGGACGAAAACAATTGCAGCCTTCATTGTCACAATGTGTATCTGAAACGAGAGCCAATCCACCAAAATGATGTGAACTGAAGATACAAACTCTGTTGAAAGCTGTACAGTATGTTGGCTACATTTAACACCCTTTTAAACTGAAAATGTGATACATTATTTTCAATTACAGCCAAAATGCCTGGATGGGAGGCAATTAGACTGAGTTTAACTGCAAAGTGCCTGTGAAGTCCTGCTTTGTAATGGTTAAAGAATTAAAGCCTTGATTAGTATACAGGGAGAACTAACCATGGGCTATTATGAGTCTCCACCATAGCTAAGTGGAGGGACTCTGGCCGGAAGTGCACTCCTTTTAAAGTCCCTAACCGTTGGCAGACAACATGGGCTTCCCTCCCAGCTAATGACATCCAGCCTACCCTAGCTATCCTACCCCCATGCATGAACGTCTCCCTTGTTTTCCAGCTCAGCTACTCTCAGCTAGAACAACACTACATAAAGTATAACTCTGAGCAGGCAGTGTTTTAGCTATACCTATAATGATCCCTGCACAGTGTATAATTCCCCAAGTTAAAAGTGGAAGTCTGGAAGACCACAGTCAGTCCAGGGAGGCAGGGAACATGATGAACGCCCCTCAGCTTTATTTTGGAAGCCAACTCTACTTTGTCATTTGGTCCTTGGGTTCTAGAATGATGAGCCCTTAAATTTGTGGTGTCGACAGATGGAAGTGTGACGGAGGCAAGGCGAGAGAAACTACTAGGGATGTTGAGTGGATGTTGCGTGTAGATGAGGTCTGACTTCAGAAGTAATCAATCCAGCCTTTCAGTTTTGCTGTTATTATTATTTGTCCTCACAGCAGCACTTAAATGCGGTGGTTTATTCTTGGAACATAGGAGTCAGTTAGTTGACAATAAATTAGCTGTGAATTTGAGAGCTGAGCCCAGAGCTTCCTCTTCCTGCTGTCACGTTCACATTCATCACTCCAACACTACAAAACCTAGTTTATGATTGAGCTCACCCTATCAGGTTACCAGAAGTATCCGGTGTATAGAGAGCATGTGTAATAGCACAAACTAATTGTTACAACAGATCACCAAGCTCTCTTTTCTGGTAAATTATGAATTTGCTACTAACCATAATGCATGTATTCTTGTTTACATAAAAAGCCCCAAATGTACAAAGCATTTAGGCATTAAAAGGGTGCTATTTTAGTTTCTAACTGCTGAAATTTGTCTCCTAGCTTTGTCATTCTTTGCACAAACTGTAAAAACATTCACTGCGATTTTCTTTGAGCTTTTACAGGAGAGGATTATACATGTAGAAGGGCTAAACTTAAATTACTTATCGTTCACAAAGCACATGCATAGCATGTCAGTATCAGAATTTACTCTGCTATATTTACATTGTCTATGTGATATCTCCTTCAATTTCCCAAAGAATCACCAAAATCTATGACAGAGTTTGCACCTGAGCACCAATACGAGAGAGAAGCCATTCTTTACCTGGACTTGATCCTCAGAGAATCCACAGGATAGCACTAAATTAGTTAGTCAGGATGAGTGGAGAGCTGCTCAGTATTCTCTTGGATGCCAGAGGAGGAACAGCACAGTTCAGTTTGGATGTGGATGGATGCTGCTGAACGGAGGCTGCTGGTTGGCTTATAAACCCGGCTGCCTCCAGCTCCAGCCAATAGAAGCAGGGCTTGTGTCTTGTGATGTCATGAGGTTTACCACTTCTGGCCCACCTATCCTCTCCCACTCTTCCTGTGGTTAGTGTGGCCACTCAATGCAAACATTCATCAATCGACAAGACAGAGGAAGAAAAAAAACACATATCCTGTATTGTTACAGAAATAAACTGAGGACACAAGCCCTGTGAAATTGAGATCAAATACATGACAGTGCTTACAGTCATATGATGTTAGAAAACACCAAATGAAGAGATACTGGCTTTATTACTAATTAAGGATTTTTCAGCATCTGAACCAGGGTTGAAGTACCAAAACATTACTGTGGGTCTGTAAGGTAATACATATGATCATCACTTCATCATTAAGCCAAGGTCAAAGAAGAGCCAAGGTCAAAGAGGAGATGGATGTGTCATGTACATTTACAGTGTAGACAGTACAGCTTTTTTGTTAAGAGAGCATTCATATTCTCCCATCTCCATTGGCCTCAATGCAAGACATCATTAGCCAGCATTAACATCACAATTCTACACCCCACTCAGCATGTTTCGTGGGAAGATAAGTTTGGACTCATTTTGCCCCTCAGTCATCTTTTTACTGGGTGACTGCGACTCAGTGTCATTATCTGTGAAGCTAGACTAGATCTACTTATATTGCCATTTTTATCTGATAAATGAAAGGTTGTAAATAAGATAATACATACTGAACAAAAATATAAATGCAACATGCAACAATTTCAAAGATTTTACTGAGTTACAGTTCATATAACCAAATCAGTCAACTGAAATAAATAAATTAGGCCCTAATCTATGGATTTCACATGACTGGGCAGGGGCGCAGCCGCTGGGAAGCCAGGCCCAGCCAATCAGAATGAGTTTTTCCCCACAAAACGGCTTCATTACAGACTGAAATACTCCTCAGCACTCCCTCAGATGATCCTGCAGGTGAAGAAGCCGGATGTGGAGGTCCTGGGCTGGCGTGGTCTGTGGTTGTGAGGTTGGTTGGACGTACCGCCAAATTTTCTAAAATGACGTTGGAGGCGGTTTATGGTAGAGAAATTAACATTCAATTCTCTGGCAACAGCTCTGGTGGACGTTGCTGCTGTCAGCATGCCAATTGCACGCTCCCTCAAAACTTGAGACATCTGTGGTATTGTGTTGTGTGACAAAACTGCACATTTTAGAGTGGCCTTTTATTGTCCCCAGCACAAGGTGCACCTGTGTAATTATCATGCTGTTTAATCAGCGGTTTCACACCTATCAGGTGGATTTGTGGTCAACATTTTAGATAAATACGCTTTTTGTGCGTATGGAACATTTCTGTGATCTTTTATTTCAGCTCACCAAAACGTTACATGTTGCGTTTATATTTTTGGAGAGTGCAAGGATATGGAGGAAGAGAACTTCCAGACACCTACGCATTCTCTGAATTCTAGAATATGATTACTTCTCATAAAAGTTGGAGAGCATTGAAATAATGACCCACTAAAGTAGTAGGTATGAAACTAAGGTAGCACCCCTGACTGTTTTCTTTGTCAAACTATCTATCCGAACCATGCAATTAACTTGTCAGGATTCCTGTGTTAATGTTTGACAGGTGTCTGACGTACTCACTGGAGTATGCATTGCTACATGTTGAGTCTGCCATAGTACTTTGAATATAATCCACTATAGCTTGATTTCTTACTATATGATCATAATAAAATAGCCTCTAGTGGCTTTGGTGTTCAGTGGAATGATTTAGGGTGTATTCGTGTATAACTAAATGTTGTAAAAAGGTAGACAAGACACAACATCAGACATGTACAGTGAAACTCCCAGACAGATGTCTGGAAAGCTTGATAGTTGATGCATCAAGTCGAAACATGTTGCATTTGCTACGTTTTCAACTCGTTTGATGTCAAGTCACAACAGTTCAATCTTCTTCAGGTTGTGTCTGGAATTCTCACTGAGATGTCTGATATCCCGGGCTGTCAAATCAACCAGTGGTTCACCAGGAGCTGAACACCAAGACACCTCTAACACCACAACAAGATTACACACTTTCTCCCATTTCTGTCTGATTCAATCATTACCCCAACACCTTGAGTGTATACTTCACATTTTTATCAATAAACAAGGATATTCAAATGAAGTGATTCCAACCAACACCACAAATAATGACATTAACATTTTAGAACTTCACCATTATGTGACACACAAGGAAAATCATTATCTGATGAACTGCACAGTGTGGATATCAAATCACTGGACCACACAGCCCGTATTCTTTATATACTTTGCTTTGTGGAAAGTCTGCAGTAGAATTAGGAGACCCACTTTTATGATCTCCGTAGAGCATGTTGAGGACCTTACTGTAATCCTAGTCTGGTCAATGCAGAGCTGGCAGTTTGGCTGCCTTAAAGCAAAGCTGAAATCAGGGAAAACACATGACTCCAATTGAGCCATGATCCACAACATTAGTTTATGAAGCTGATGTCATTCGTTAAAGTGGAACCCATGTTCAATGACATGCAGCAATGTCGTTAAATGCATTTTAGGCCCGGACCATCAATCTCTGTGGTCATTTAGTTTGGAAATATTATTTAAACTCATTGTAACATACAGTACAGGCATTATGCAGATTGTGTAGTGTTTTAATGGAATATTTAATTAAGCCATCAACTTTCGTTATCGTAAAAAACTATACAAGAGTGTTAATAGTAAGCTAAGATCAGATGTGGTCTCTATCGGCCTGATTCACAGTGAGGAATATCCTGCTGTTGACCCAAAGCATGTACAGTGGGGAAAAAAAGTATTTAGTCAGCCACCAATTGTGCAAGTTCTCCCACTTAAAAAGATGAGAGAGGCCTGTAATTTTCATCATAGGTACACGTCAACTATGACAGACAAAATGAGAAAAGAAAATCCAGAAAATCACATTGTAGGATTTTTAATGAATTTATTTGCAAATTATGGTGGAAAATAAGTATTTGGTCAATAACAAAAGTTTCTCAATACTTTGTTATATACCCTTTGTTGGCAATGACACAGGTCAAACGTTTTCTGTAAGTCTTCACAAGGTTTTCACACACTGTTGCTGGTATTTTGGCCCATTCCTCCATGCAGATCTCCTCTAGAGCAGTGATGTTTTGGGGCTGTCGCTGGGCAACACGGACTTTCAACTCCCTCCAAAGATTTTCTATGGGGTTGAGATCTGGAGACTGGCTAGGCCACTCCAGGACCTTGAAATGCTTCTTACGAAGCCACTCCTTCGTTGCCCGGGCGGTGTGTTTGGGATCATTGTCATGCTGAAAGACCCAGGGGTGAGATCTTGCGTGGAGCCCCAGATCGAGGGAGATTATCAGTGGTCTTGTATGTCTTCCATTTCCTAATAATTGCTCCCACAGTTGATTTCTTCAAACCAAGCTGCTTACCTATTGCAGATTCAGTCTTCCCAGCCTGGTGCAGGTCTACAATTTTGTTTCTGGTGTCCTTTGACAGCTCTTTGGTCTTGGCCATAGTGGAGTTTGGAGTGTGACTGTTTGAAAGTTGTGGACAGGTGTCTTTTATACTGATAACAAGTTCAAACAGGTGCCATTAATACAGGTAACGAGTGGAGGACAGAGGAGCCTCTTAAAGAAGAAGTTACAGGTCTGTGAGAGCCAGAAATCTTGCTTGTTTGTAGGTGACCAAATACTTATTTTCCACCATAATTTGCAAATAAATTCATTAAAAATCCTACAATGTGATTTTCTGGAGAAAAAAAATTCTCAATTTGTCTGTCATAGTTGACGTGTACCTATGATGAATATTACAGGCCTCTCTCATCTTTTTAAGTGGGAGAACTTGCACAATTGGTGGCTGACTAAATACTTTTTTCCCCACTGTAAATGTGGTATTACCCTAACTATCATACAGTGAAAGAACCTAGGGTCAAACTTTATTTGGATAGTCCAGATAGTCCATCTGTAGATGCTCTACGTACTATCAAAAAACGATCTGTTGATAAGCAACTGCTTGCTAAGGTTAGGGTTAGGTTTAGAATAAGGGTGAGGGTTAAGGTTAGGGTTAGGGCTAGGGTTAGGGTAAAGATTAAGTTTAGGGTTAGGATAAGGGTTAGGGTTAGGATAATGGTTAAGGTTAGGGTTAGTAAATAGTTACATTTAAATGCTACTGATAGTCTGTAGATAGTCTGTAGAGCATCTACAGATGGACTATCCAAATAGAGTGTTACCGAACCCAGTACAGGCCAAGTGGTGGAGGGGAGTTGGAAATCTACTACGACAAGAACTCTTCCAGACAACCCCATTTTCAATGTAGTCATTAACGGTGTGTGTGTGTTACTATACGTTAGTCTGTGTTAACCGCATAATGTCTTCATAATGTCTCTATAAACCCCCATAGGTTTATAGAAGTGTTTGGGTGGTGGAGTTTTGACAGATTCATACATGTACAGTCAGTGTGACATACTGAAAGACAGGAGATCATATTACTTTACATAACTTTCATGTTACTGTAGTTGTCTCAAACTAGTATGTGGGACTGCACCAAGAGAAAGGTTAAATCATCTATTTTATAAATGGTCAAAAATGTAACATACTGCAAGCTATATAACAAAATCAAGAGCCCTACAGAAAATGAACAGGACATGGGGAAATAAACAGACATGGACCATCTCTTTAGATTTCTACGCTAAGTATGTCCTCAGTTGTTTGTGCAAGTGGGAGAGTGTGAATGAAGTCGAAAGCAATTTATCTGAGATAGAGCTATTTGCCATAACCTACACCTGCTCGTCGAACATCCCATTCCAAAATCATGGGCATTAATATGGAGTTGGTCCCCCCTTTGCTGCTATAACAGCCTCCACTCTCCTGGGAAGGCTTTCCACTAGATGTTGGAACATTGCTGCGAGGACTTGCTTCCATTAAACCACAACCAAGAGCATTAGTGAGGTCGGG